GAGGACTTCTTGAATCACACTGTGTCTGGACCCTCGCCCTTGACTGTTCTGCCATGGATGTTCCTAAGGGAGTACATGACACCAGGCCACATCACTCCTGGAGGTCATTAGAACATACAAGCCTTTCTACCACTACAAGGTAATGATCCATAGAGAGGTGCCTTATTTATAGTACAATGCTATTTGACTTTTCCCTCTTCATTTATCACTTCCTCTTGTTTGTAAACCTTTTTGAATAGCTTGTGTATCACCTTTGCTGTGTTTTTTTCTACTACCTGCAGCAAGTCTGTAGTTATATTATCACTCCCCAAAGATTTTTCTTTTTCAATCTTTCAATCAAGATCTTTAAAGGGTTAAAAAGGGGTAGTTTTTTTTTTTATAAGACCAACTTCTGTTGATGGAAGGGACAAGCTTTTGAGCACCACAGAGCTCTTCTTCAGAGATGGGGAAGGTAACCAGAGGGTATGAGTTAGATACAAATTGGGACAGATTGTTTTGTAGTATGGATTTGCCATAGCTGGAAGAGAGATGCCCCTGTCCCAGCCCAGCCCAGCCTCACTGTAGCTGCTATGGCCAACCGACATTTCTCATCTGTCCAGAGCTGCTGCAGTGAGAGAGGACAGGGAAAGGGAGGGTGCAGGAAGCCCTCTCTGCTGACAAGCCAAACCAGATCTGGAATCCTCAGCCACAGTCTTCACCCCTTCACCTCACCCCTCTGCCCAGCCCTGAGCTCCCCTCCCAAATCCCTCATCTTCAGCTCCCCTCCCCCCCAGTCAGAGCCCTCATCCTCCCTAACCCTGAGCCCCCTCACACACTCTGAACTCCTTGGCCCCATCCCCAACACATATAATCCATGTGCAGAATCAATGTTATTATTTATTGTGTATTATTAGTGCACATAACAAAATTCATTCTGCACATGGATCACAATTAGAGGGAACACTAGGTCAGATATTGAGTTATTGCTTTGTGAAAAGTGTTTTCCCATGGGGGGTGATACATTGTTTTGTCTTATCATTTTTCTATGTGAGTTCATTTGAAAGCATAATGATTGGTTTCACCAATATAATTGTTGTTGGGGCATTTGGTGCACTGGATGTGGTGCACCATATGTTGAGATAGGCATGGGTAGGACTCTTGGATCTTCAAAGGTGTGTTGTGGGTTATACTGAAAATCATAATATTGGAGAGCTATCTGCATTGTTCTGATGGGTCTGATGCCACTTTGAGTGGGTGCGCCCTGGTCTGTGAAGAGTTTTTCTGAGGGTGAGCTTAACAAGGTTGCAGGGTTGTTTGAAGACAAGAAGAAGGGATTCAGGGGTCCAGGATATTGATGTTAATGGTTGAGTACTCTAGAGAGCTTGGATGGATGAATGATGTTTGTTAAACGGATGCTTGTAGACGGAGCTTGGTCCTGCCTTGAGGGCGGGGGGCTGGACTCGATGACCTCTCGAGGTCCCTTCCAGTCCTATTATTCTATGATTCTATGATTCTAAAGTTGTGGTAGAAATCAGATGTAGTTTAGGTTGCGGGGAGGGATAGCTCAGTGGTTTGAGCATTGGTCTGCTAAACCCAGGGTTGAGAACTCAATCCTTGGGGCAAATATTTGTCAGGGATGGTACTTGGTCCTGCTGTGAAGGCAGTGGATTGGACTCAATGACCTTTCAAGGTCCCTTCCAGCTCTAGGAGATAAGCAATCTCCATTAATTTAATTTAGGTTGTGTCCAAAGGATGAAAATATCATCAGTACTTCTATTATATAGTTGGTTTTATGGTTCACTTGTCCAGAAATTCTGACTTGAGGTGGCCAATAAGGAGGTTGGCATATTGGGAGCCATTCTAATACCTAAAAGGCTAACGGGCAATTATAGAAATGGATAATCATGTTAGATATATGTTGTCATTGAGAAAGGTAACAGCAAAAGTATGAAGCCAATGCATCCAAAAGACTAAAACTAAAGGCAACTAAAAAGAACCCAACATTCATTCAGTTAATTAATTCATTAATTAAAACATTTCTTAACTTTTACAAGAGCTTTTAATTCTCATGTCAAAATTAAATTGTATAACTGTAGAAATTTGTGTTTGAGGGATTTCATGAGGTAGTACAGTGTGTTAATAATGTTTATGAACCAAGTTCTATGTGTAAGTGGTGACATGGGGAAAAAAGACACTAACTACGGTGTTGGATAGAGACACAAAATAACAATTGATATGGGAAGTCCACATTGGCAGATCAAAGGAAATTGAAAGTTTTGATGGCAGTCCAGGAAATGTGTCAACCTTGAAGTCATATGATCCCAAAGTTGCACTATCTACTATATATTTGAGAAAGTTTGTCTGTTTCTTTGTGTCTTTCCCTGCTTGTTCAAGAACTCCTCCTAAAAGGTAAGAGCTAGGACTACCAAATTTAGTATTCAGCTTCCTTTAATCGTGACTTAAAACAAGGTAAGGATTTGGTTGTGACAGGAAAATGGGATGTACCTAAAATGGGATTGCTTCTCATAAAACCATATAGAATCACCAGGTAAGTGAAAGGGGATGGTTGCAGGCACATCCTCTCTCCCTCTGGGAATGCCCCAACCCCAAGCCTCCCACCTCCCAGGTGCCTTTAGGTAGGGCAGGGGTGGGGTGGGGAGCTGAAACTCTCCCCATCCCGATTTGTACAGGAATATTGCTGGCTATTCCCCTTCATCACGGAGCAAGGGAAACTTGCAGTTTGCTGCATTCTTCAGTCTGGCTGGGGAGTGCAGGAGGGCAGATTAATGTGGACCCTCCCTGGCTGTGTCCGCTGGAGCTGCAGTGACCATGGAAAAGTGCTTCTCAGCTGGCTCCAAGTTGCTGCAGTGAGAGAGGGCTGAGGTAGTCCTCTTTCCTGGGGGCAGCCTGCATACTGAACCCATCATTCTCAACCCCACCCCAGAGCAATGATTTAAATGAAGCATGCACATTTTCATTTTATTTTCCAAACAACAAAAACTGAGTAAAGGACCCAAGCAACGCCAGGTAAATCTTCTAGTATGGAAATAAATAAATACAGGGTTTAAAACTGTAAATTACTAAATTGCCTTAAAATATAGGACATATGCTACTAGAAACAGCATAAGATCTGATAGCTTAAGTCACTAGCGCCTATTGATATTTTCAATTATTTACTATTAAAAATATAAATAGCAGAATGTCATCCATTTGTACGGCATTAGTAAGGTTAAATGACAACATAGTAAGAAAAAGTAATGAAAATTACATTTTAAAAAGGAAATAACTGAAAGGAGTGGAACTCTATTTACAGTGAATTACAAGATAGGGAGCCTAATTCAATCAGTCAGAACAGTGAGTAAGACAATTTTGTGAACTGCTATGAGGCTTTATGCAGACGAAAAGGGATCACTGTAATCATCTAGTCTGGCCTCCTGTGTAGAACCTCCTCAAAATAATTCCTACACCGTATTTTTTAAAATTACGTCCAATTTTATAAAAATATAAGGCATTATTTTAAACAGCAAATCTTTAAAACGTGTTTTTTTTTTAGGATTGTTAAGTGTGTGTAAAAGTTCATGAATCAAGTCTCCTTATTTTAAAAATTAATTTCAGATCTGCAGGAGAAGGACAGTCTCTTCGGGCCTCTGAGCAAGGTGCATGGGGAAAGCCCAGCTCTTCGCTCCTGGAAAATGCCCACAAAACAGGTATCAGACAAGACCACAAAGAAAAAACAGTTTCTTGCCATTTTAACCAGAAAGGACACTCTCTCAATGACTTAACCACCTGCATTCTGCTACAAAGAACTTTTACATCTGCACTTGAAAGGGAATCCTCTGAACTGTCATTCATGTTAAAATTCAACACTCTCCAAAAAGGAATGAACAAACACTCCAACTATCTTACCCATTACCAAGATAGCTTCCCCAATTATCACCTCTAATACCATTAACTCACAGACATCCCACTCTCCCCACCTCTAATATCATCAATTCACAGACACTTACCTTCCTTCCTTCCCCCCCCCCCATCCCCCTCCTGTTCTGAAATGTGATTTGTCCTTTTCATATGTGTTCAATTTTTTTAATTGTATCCTTTGGTATATATGGTTGTGACTATTTTCTTCCACTATTTGATCTGAGGAAGTGGGTCTGGCCCACGAAAGCTCATCATCTAATAAACCATCTTGTTAGTCTTTAAAGTGCTACATTGTCCTGCATTTTGCTACGGCTACATTTCTATCACTATTCTCCTGGAAGGAGAGGGACATCTGGTGGCAGGGGCGGAGACAAGCCCCACCCGGAGCGCACCTTGCTAGTGTCCAAGTAGCCCTTAGCACTGCCTGGAGCGCATAGCTTGGCACTCTGGCGGTGACTCAAAGTGTTCTGGGATCCTGCCACCTTGGAATCGCCAGACCCTGGAGCAACTGTTCCCTTTGCTCCCCTCTCCCTTCTGCCCCGTTGGCAGGCCTGCAGATCTGCCTTGTGTAAGCATTGGGCTATTTGGTGCACTTTCCAACCAAAGGCCTGAGAAGCCCCTGCTCCATCGGATCAATCCTACCCTCTACTACCCACACCCTATTTCTGCAAATACGACAGCTGGCTCAACCCTCTTTGGGGCAACTGTGCTCCCCTCTGCTCCAGCCCGGCAGCGCCTCTCTAGCCCGCCGTTCACCCAGGCTCCATCTCTGTCCTTGGGTTTGTCCCTCTTCCCGGCCGCACGTGCGGGAGCGGCGGGCGCTGTACGCTGGCACCGCACAAACTAGGCAGTCCCGGGCCACAGCCCTTCGCGGCAGGGAGACCCTTCGGATTCCCAAGTACGGGCGGAGGAGGGCAGCGGACTAAGCATGCATTACTGCGCATGCTCGCCGGGCAGAGGCTTCGCCAAGAGTTACTGCGCATGCTCGCCGGGCAGAGGCTTCGCCAAGAGTTACTGCGCATGCTCGCAAGTCGGCGCATGCTCAGTCACAGTCAGGGAGCCAAACCCAAACGGAATTGCAAAGCCCATGATAAGGTAACTGTCCCACATAGGCGCTCAACGGCCGCGAGCGGGAGTAGCCGTTAGGCGCAACTGCTGCTTGCCCCTTCCGCAAGCTCTGCCGCGTGAGTAACGGGGAGCCCCAAAGTGCCTCCCCCCCTTCCCACCCGGGGCCCCTGCTCTGCCCGGCGACAGGGGCGCAGGCAGCAGTGACGCTGGCGGGGAGCGGGATGGTGCCGGGGGTGGCGTCTCCCACCCGGACCCTGCGCGCTCCTCTGCGGGCCGTGGCTGGCTGGAGCGCTGCGCGGGGGAGAAACGCCCACGCTCCTCCCCGGCCATCGCCGCCGTTGGGCCGCGGGCCGAGCGGGGGCGGGGCTGT